TCCTGAGGGGCAATTGGGGCAGCAGCTGCCGCTCACACCCACTGACAGTGCCAGCCCTGCTCGCACCTGCTGCTGGCGCTGGCCCCAATCACCCCACGCTGTCAGTGGGTGCGAGTGGGGCCAGCACTGTCAGCACGTGGGAGCGTCAGCGCGTGGGAGCGGTGGCAGCCAGAGTGGGGCTGCCAGTAGACAGGGTACTGAGGGGCCGCAGTGGGAGGGACCAGGTGGGGGTGCGGAGGATGGGCTAAGATCCGCCCCTGTGCCTACTACAGCCTCGCGGCCCACAGTTTCTTTCAAGGTGCACAAATTCGTGCACTGGGCTCCTAGTGTGTGTGTGTGTGTGTGTGTGTGTGTGTGTGTATATAAAACAGCCCTAAAAGAAAATATGAACAGGCAATTTACAAAAGAGGGAATCCAAAAAGCTAATAAGCATATGAAGAGATGCTTAATTATTAGTAAGTTGAAACATGCAAATTAAAATTAAAACAGCAATGAGATATTACTTCACCCGTAATATACTGGCAGCTACTAGAAAGCTGGATAATGCCATGTGAGAATAGTTGACTATGGGAGTAGGGGACAAGGAAATAGGTATGGGATATGAGGATGGAAAATCAACCAACCAATCAGACCGTTCTGATGTTTTCATAGCATTTATCACAATCAGAAGCTCTGGAGCCTGGGTTCAAACCCCAGCTCCACCATTTACTAGATGTTGGTTACCTATGTGTCTTAGTTTCCCATTATAACGTGGAGATAACAATACCATCTATGTTGCACGGTTGTTGCCAGGATTAGAGTTATATGTAAAGCATCTGATTGTTGTGTTCTTGTTATTTTATCCTTAATGTGTTTAATGTCTCCCCCCATCCTACATCTAAAATGCAGATGGGAAAAAAAGCAGTTTCCTGATCTTTCTGAATTTTTCTTGTATCTTGACATATAAAACAGTGCCTGAACCCTGGCCGGTATGGCTCATTTGGGCATCCTTCCCTGCGCCAAAGGGTTGCTGGTTCGATTCCCAGTCAGGGTACCTGCCAGGGTTTCAGGCTAAATTCCTGGTGGGAGACGTGCAGGAGGCAGCGGATCTATGTTTCCCCCACACCAATGTTTCTCCTCTCCCTCTCTCTCTAAAAATCAATTTAAAATCTTTAAAAACAAAAACCTGAAAGAAGAAAAAAGAAAACAGTGCCTGGTACATAGCAGGCCCTCAACAAATATTTGTTGAGGGGAGGGTGAAGGTGGGTGAGGATGAAGCCGGTGGGTAGGGTCCGGACCCACCTTCTTGAAGCCCTTGCCCCAGGGATCAAGGGCCACTCACTCGAAAGAAGTCACGAAACAGGTCTGGGAAGGAGCCCCCGGCACCAGGGTCAGGTTCTTTTCTACGGCCCAGCCATTCCCGCCGTGCTCCACCTCCCAGCCTCGGAAGCCCTCTGTGGGATGCAACAGGGTTGAAGAGGAGGGGTCAGCCGGCCAGCTCGCTTCTCTCCGGGCCCCGCCCGGGCTCCTTCACCACCGCCCGCCCGCTCCCACCGCTCATTTACTGGCCTCCTAGCTCCTCCTGCCTGGCCCGCCCACGCGCGGACGTCCTCTTTCCAAGAGGCCTCACGTTCCAGGCAAGCCCGCCCCCACCAACACCGC